TGGTAGTGGTAGTGGTAGTAGTCGTAGTCGTAGTCGTAGTCGTCGTCGTCGTCGTCATTAGTAGCAGCAGCAGGAGCAGTAGCAGTCAGTCGTACTAACAGCACTACTAACAGCAGCAAAATGCAGCAAGCATGCCTCACGCCTTCTACCCCACAGTCTGTTGCAGGAGCAGTGCCCACGACCGCCATGTCAGCTTCCTACGCCCCTCTATACACAGCTGGGACATGATAGAGGTGTTGTCGGCTGATGCTGTCGAATGATGGCAAACTCTGAGACCCGTCTTTGGCGGATCAATGGCCTGCAGCAGCCCAGCCTGCCAAGCCGTCCTGCACGGAACCACAGCAAATGCGAGAACTCGAGTCACTCAAGACAGCTCCAAGTCTCTTGTACCAGGATCTTTCAGCCGTCACAGCCCTGACTAGCAAGAGAGAACTTGAGAATTTCTTCGCGTTGGCCGGACACTAGCTTGCACAGCATGCCGATTACACGGGTGCGAGTCTGACGGTGATATGCCAATGTTGCCAGAAAAGATCCAAGTGCTTGGTCCTGGAGGTCGCAGCATCCCATGAGGGCCTCTGCTAGGATTCTAAAGCCATGGCAGGAGCGTGCTCTGCAACGCTCCTTTCCAATTGCCATGGAGGTCGGAATGCCACACAGAAGCGTGTTAATAGTAGTAGTTGTTCAATCTTTGGACGAAGTGCTGAAGTCTGCAAGGCTTGCTCTTGCACAGTGTCCAGCTTTTTGAGAGTAAGCATGGGAAGAGTTGGGAGGGGTCAGGTGATGACAGATCGAAGGATTGCCGACAGACGCCTGCGAAGGAACGCTGCTCAGGATGGACACCAAGCTTTCACACTGCCACTGCTTTGAACCGCTGTAGCTTTTTCCTACACGCATCCCCTGCCTCGTGCTCGTGATACACCTGTGCTACACAGGAACAGCTTGGAACTGAAAGCCGTCTGCAGAGCAAAGCACAGGCCGCGCGGCCAGGCAAGTACTGCATCCAGCTGCCAAGCACCCCTCGCATGTCCGAAGCATGGCTTGTGGCCACTGGACAAGCGGTTCTCAAACGAAAGCCATTGAGTTCCGCGAGAGCGTGCTGGCCACGCAGGCCACGCAACTGTACAAGACTCAAACTGGTCTCCATGCTCTGGCGAACTCACTGACCGACCTGCTTAACCATGTAGTGCAAGCTGCAGTCTGCATTGTAGGACTCCAGGCGACGATCTCGCCACTCCTTTTGGTCGGTGTCCTGGACTGGACCATATTCTTCTTACACCTGCATTGGCTGGCTTTCAAACAAGAAAGCTGAGGAAATGCCGGGAGCCGGCCAGCGCAAGAGAACCAGGACCCCAACGGTCGGGAAAAGTAAACCGAAAATGACCCGAGAGCTGCTGCAAGTCGTTCACAGCGAGCTCCGAACTGCATGCCTCTTCAGTGAAGCCTGGACCGACAAAGTAAACAAAAACATACCTGACAAGCTGAAGAGTTCAAGAGTTCATGGTCGCCTTAAACGCCCTCGGCATGGTCGAGCGTCGAAAGCTGCTTAGCTGACTGTGCGAGCGCGAGGTTTGGATGTGCTTGAGCCTGCTTGAGCTTAGCAAGCGCTCAATGTTGCGATCCGCTTTTTGCCTTTTCCGCCAGTACAAACCTCCGCTGCCGCGTGCAAGCAGGGCAACGTGGAAGGTGCGCCCGCCAATTCGCAACAGGAGGGAACTTACATGGAAACCATCCAGGCCCGTGCGAATGCAATGAACCTGTTTCGGTCCTGGAATCCCCAGTTCTGATGCGCAGCCAAGGCCGGCAATGCTCTGCCATTGAAGGCGCGGCCATCTCAAGTGAATGGGCAAGCAGCAACCCAAAGTCAGTGCAACACGTGGTCCAAGACATGCAGATCAGTCGCTGCCTTGAACTCATGATATGTGCAAGCTTTGACCCTCCCCAGCCTTGGCTCAGGTCACACGCACTGAAAAGCTCGCTGTGGCCAAGCAGTAGCGCTACCTGACGGGGTGCCAGGCCAAGGGTGTCCCACCATGTCGCATCACAGAACGCGCGGCCTCCTCGGCCGCTAAAACGAGGTAGTATGCCTCAAAGACTCCCTACGGCAACACCGCTCACTTCCAAGACCTTGCAAGACGGTGGCATACGGTGGCCTTGGCTCCACAGTCCGGCAGTCGAGCAATGTACTCCAGCACCACCCCGCCCTGACGGCACCAGTCCACTGAAGGCCCTTCATGCGCACTGCACTGATTTCTTCTCCAAGGCCTTGCCTGCAGCTGCCGCGGACCAGCTGCGGTGTAACGCTGCCAGGAGAGGATTGCTACTGCCACCTCGGAGAAAACGACCCCGGCCCAGGTGAACATAGACTCATCAAGACTCACTGGGCGAGGATGAGCCAGGCTGCCATCTGTCCAGGCTCAGCAGACGACTCGGATTCCTGGTAGCAAGATGAAACCCTTAATTTGACAATTTGACGACGTGACAACCCGGATCGTCCTGCCAAAGGAGCCAAACTTTGGACGGCTCCACCTTGGAAGCGCCTGACAACGAACCACTGCCAAACACATCGAGAGTTTGGCCATCAACGAGACATGTCACCAAGCTATGTGCCGCATGCCAGTCATATCAGTGATATCATAGAGTCGAATTACGACAAACACAAAGCTTGGTGCCCCGAATCCAAGCTTGATCGGATCACTTTCGTTGAAGATCATAGTATCCGAGTGCACCGATAGTTTGGTAATGCCACACAGGGTACTTTTGTCGGCAGGTTCCGTATCAATTGAAAAGATGCTTGCCATGTTCTTTGTACCTGTTCGTAATTTTCCACGATCTCGGACACCATCATTGCATGCTTGACAGTCGGCATGACAGCACAAAGCTCGCACCTGCACATTGATCGATAACTTGCGGCTTGTGGCAAAGAAGTGGGTGCATGCGAAGTATTGACATGATTGACTTGCGGAAAGAGCCGGGATATAGTACCCTTCATCCTTGTCTACCCTGCAAGACCAGCACCTTGGCGACGCTTGCGACGGAGACCAAGCAGCAAGGAAATTGTCTTTGCTGCCGCCTGAAGCCGTGCAGGGAGTCCACGCTAGCTTGGAAAGATGTGCTCTCGCCGCTGCGTATGCTTTGCGGCTGTTTCCAGTCCACTTAGGTGCGCCAACTTTCGAGGATCACAGCTCCAAAACGCTTGCTCTCGAGGCCCGAGGCCGGCCTCGTCCTCAAAAGCCGTCGCGAGAAGGTGCTTCGCCTGCAATGCTCTTCGCTCTTCGTCTCTTTGAGATGGAACATTGCTTAGGGCTCTTAAGCTCTCGCGCTTCGGCAGACGGAAGGTGGCCTCTAACAGCCGCTGCCGACCGGCGATCGCGATTGGTGCAGCAAAGACCTGCGGTGCCGCTGCGCACAGCGTCGTACCCGGGCGCCAAAGATCCCAGAAGCCAAGCGGTAACAGGCGAGGCCTCCACACACACTTTAAGCACAAGGACATAGGAGCGACGGTGCTACGAGCACAGTAGCGGTGGCGCCTGCTCTCGCGTGAGATGCACGGCCTGCCCATTCGAGTCAGCATCCCTGGAACGCCGGCACACGAGACGAGCGCTGTCTTCTTATCCTTCCGGCCACAGTGCTCGCCGATCATACAGCACGTGAACTTCGCTTCTCGCCAGTGGTCGAAAAGGAGCTGATCCACCACGTACCACCGCGGGCATACGTCACAGCCGATGTGCAGCACCTTTGGGGTCGCTGCGTCGGAGCTCTCCGACGGAGGGGCGTCCTCAGAGTGCAACTGGACACGCATGAAACTTGATTAGAACGAGCTCACAGCAACCCACGGCATTCGTACAGCATTGACTCTTTGCCAGGCTGCCGTTGTTTCCATGGCATCGTCCATGAAATCAGCTGGAGGGCTGGAAAGCTTGGCCGCGGTGTGGACTTCAACTCGCATTTGGGGAATGGTGATGGCTTCATGTATCTCCTTAGCTATCGGACTCAACGTGCACCACCTCCCGTGCCACCAACGTCGCTTGCACTTTCAGTCCGAACTGCTCTGTCATGCTCTCTTTCGTCATCCGCCTCGGGGGAGCTGGGGACCACCTGCGATGCATGCAGCACTGCAGCAATGCGAAAGAAAGTCCTTCATCGTTCCATCACGGACACCCTGCCACTGGCCTCGACGCTCGGCATGCTTCGGCGCATTCGGAAATGAGCAGCCAGGTCTAGACCGCGACTGCCAACCTGAAGTTCCAACACCCCTGAAGTGAGACGGGACGCGCACTGCTTCATGAATGGGCGTTGGTGTGTCAAGCTGGTCAGAGATCTGTGAGCCTAAGACCCTACCGGAGGCAGCAACACTTCGCGACCGGATGAGAACTTGGACAGACTGATGAGGAGATGCCGGCTTGGCATGAGTGGGATCTGATAAAGCTGTCGTCGACTTCCGAGCTCCTGGCAACCCTCAGCTTTCTCTTTTGCAAGTCGTGGCATCGAGCACAGCGCACGACACCATCTCGGCGACGACCTTTCAGAGTGTGGCTGCAAAAAAAGCCGCAATGTCTTCAAGCGCACTGAGCTGACCGAGCTCTTGACGGAGCCCTTGCTCCGGACTATTTCTGTGGTTCTCGTCTTCACAGCCGTCAATGGGAACCTCTAGATCAACCACGGCAATGCGCGTGTCAATGCTTGTGCATTGCCTCGACTAACGTGACATGCAAGTGCGTATGAAGCGAGGCTGGCACCGTGCTCTCAGCATCATCTGGGGATTCTGGCAGAATTTGACATTTGACAGTGCTTGTGCATCGCAGGTTGCTTAGAACATGGCAAAGGTATTGTCGGTGCCTTCCACGGTCTGCACGGTGGTCGCAGCGCTGCGCTTGGTTCCACGAGCCATGGCAGCAGGGCCCGTCAGGCACAAGAAGTTCTTTTGACAGACGCAGTACGCCCGAGACCTGCGTCTCAGCTCTTCCCTTCTATTACTGTGACCGACTGGCGATACAGCTCCCCTGCAAGCACCCGTTACTACGACGTCATGGTCTGTGCACCCTCCTGATGTACCAAAGAGCTAGCGGGAATTCGTCTGGTGTGTCCAACGGCAGGTGTCCTGCTCAATTTTGAAACTGTGCGCGATGGAGAGAGAAAGTCAGGTGGACACTGAACTTGCCAGGACAGGTTTCGCGGCTGTAGGTTTCCTGCTGTGTCCCTTAAGGACCACACGGCTTGAAACAGTCGAGCTATCCTAACAGCCGGTACAGGTTTTCCGGCAAAGCAATTCAAATCCAGGGTCGAAGCACCAGCCAAGTGCCTGCCCATCTGCACAGGTAGCCACCTCTCCGATGGCCGCGAAGGTCGTGTCCTCGCATCTTCTGTAGCAGAAGCCTGGGCAGCCGGCAGGGGCCTCGGCCGGGTCGGCCAGGTCCAGGTTGCACCCACAGCTTTCTGGACACAGGCGAGCCAAGGGTGCACAGAGGTTCTCGAAGCCTTCGCACCACCTCCAACCCATCACAATTTCACGTTCCCAACGACTGTTGTTCAAGGCTGAACAGCCCTGCAGCTTCATCTCTCGCACCATTTCTGCGACTTGCGACCCTACCGTATTGTTGAACAGAGACTGACCTGTGCTATTCTCCAGCACACGCGGATATGCATCCCAGAAGGCATTCCATGAAGGGGTTGAGTTTGCGTGTACATCTGCACAGGTGCGTGCAGGGCTCTTGTCTGCCTCTTGCAAACACCCCGCAGGGCAGCCTAGGCCCGTGACCTTGAACCAGGCAGCATTGCGGCTCGCGCTGGAGCAGCAGGTCTCTCCGCATACCAAACGCACCAGCGAGCCAGAATCCAAATCACAGAACTGGGCCATGTCTTCGCATGAAGTGTTTTCAGGCAAGCCTAGCCCTGCCAAAGCTGAGTGCCAGTGAGGAGAATAGTAGCCTTCGACGCCCTCGGGCGTGTTTCCTGGAAGGAAAAAGCCATCGAAGTTGACACACCAGCTAGAAATTTCCCCAGCAGTCTCCGCCATCTGCATCGTCCGATACTGGTTGAAGCGCTGAAGGTCTGCTTGCATCAGAATGTACTTGGCTGGCTCACGTTCGGCATCTTTTAAGATATATTCGTCAACAGCACGCTGGCTCACAGTTGTTCCTCGCACGTCTTGAAAGGGCGTCGTGCTGAAGCCAACGGTGACCTTGATATCCTCAGCGAGTGCCACGGCACGGCGAAACGCATTGAGCCGAGCAGTGTGCAACATCCTGAGAGCTCTCTCTCTTTCTTTCGCCAGGGCTGTGGTGCAGGGGTTTCCCACTACACCGCGCATCACCGCGCGCGTCAAGCGCCCCCGACTGTTGCGGGTGCCAGAGAGAGCTCTCTCTTTCTCTCTCTCTCTCTCTTTCTCTCTCTCTCTCTCTCGCTCTCTTGCTTTCTTTCGCCAGGGCTAGGGTGTAGAGGGCTGCCCCCTACACCGCGCGCGGGTGCGCCCCCGACTATTGCGGGCAGTGAGTTTCACTCACGCAGAGGCAAAATGCATTCGCTCACCTGCGGTCACAAAAGACATGACAAGAAGTACGAATCTCGCTCTGTCTCTCTCCCTCTCTTCTTCTTGTTCTTCTTCTTTTTCTTCTTATTATTCTTCTTCTTCTGATTCTTCTTTTTCTTCTTCTTCTCCGGGGTTCAGGGAGCAGGTAAGGCTCCCCGCGCCGGATGGCGCGCCCCTGTTGTGGGGCCTTGTGGGGGTGTCGGTAAAAGACAAAGATCTCTGTCTCACTTCTCTTTCTTTCGCCAGGGCTAGGGGGAAGGAGTCTCTCTTTCTTTCTTTCATTGGGCGTGGGGGACCCGGCCTAGTGGCCCCCCCATATGTTATGGTTGAGGCGACGTGAAAAATTGTGGAACACTGATGTCGCTGGTGGTTCATGTTTGGTATGATATCTTGCCTACGCAACGGCATGATCTCTCTATGGTAAATCTGAGGGAGCAATTGCATGACATGATATCTACCACTTTGCAGCAAAGGTTCCCCCTACAGTTCAGACTTTGGGACACCTAGGCGAAAAAACACGTCCGCTCAGGGGTGGTGTAGATCCAAGGATAGCTGAAGTACAACAAAAGAAGTCCCCTGGCACAGTGGTGTTATATGTCAAGTCTCTTTCTTTCTCTCTCCACTTCACTTCACTTCACTTCACTTCACTTCACTTCACTTCACTTCACTTTACTTCACTTCACTTCACTTCACTTC